AAATAGATAGATCAATAGACAAAATTATCGGGACGTGGTGCAAGAATTCAGGATATACAAAAGCGTGTGAATTATATTTTACGTCGATCTCAGAATTGAAAGTTCTTCGTTTTTCACGGTCGGATGCATTCATATGATGTATTTAATTGTATCAATATGCAACTCTTTATGCTGTGGCACATCCATGAACATACGAGATACGAAGTCCTTCTTTTCAAAACTGACGCAAATAAATAATTTTTATGAAACTCAGTAGTCTTATCTTATCAGTACTTGACTTTCTCGGACGCTTTCCTCCAACACGTTAAAGTGGAACATTGTTTGAAGAGCGAGTTACCTGTGTTACTAGGAATCTGTCTCTCAACTTCTTTGTAGACCTCCTTGATTTGTTGCGAGCTCGTCACATCCATCTGAAAAGTTTTCAATCTGTCGCTCCCCACAGATTTCAAACTCTGTTCACCTTCATTCGTTAAACAAGTCGCCAAGACACAAGCTCCCAACTTATCCAGTCGAACGGCTGTTTCACGACCGAAACCGGAATCGCAGCCCGTAATTAAAACAAACTTTTCTTCAATATCTACTTTCGTTCGTGGAATCAGTCGCCTTAAAAAGTTCATTGTGGTAATTCGCAGATAGAAATGTGACGAAGTTTTCGTGACTAGTGAACGAAGCACGACAGAAGCTCTTCAGTGGCGGGTTTGTCACGCTACGCTCGAATTTACTGGGGCAGAGGTGCCAGCGTGACATAGCAGTAAAAGCGAGAAAACGTGACGGCTCATGATGTCTAGGAAATTTGCTTTCCTTAGGCCGGTTTATAGAAATAATTAGAACAGATATCGGGAAAATAAATCGGTGTAGTCTCATGACAAGTAATAATGAGACTTATGCAAGTGGTATCCGTACTTTACCTTCCTCATTCGTCGGGACACAGATTAAGTCCGAATTGCGTACGCTTGTCTTGTGAAAAATGAAATGAATGCAATTGATATGGACTAATTTATAAGATAATTACATGCTTGAAGCTGTACTGCACTTTAAGTCTATTTGGAAAGTATGCCTATTAACAAATGGAGAAGCCTTGACTGTGCTCTGCTCCGTTGTAAAGCACGCAGGAAGCGGCCAGAGCCCGAAAGAAGTGTAGGGAGGAGCACGTGACGTAGTCGAGTGTTGAGAATCGTCAAAGGTGGGGGAAAAAAGTACGGGACTTCGACAACCGACCTCTTAATACAGGGTGATCGCTTAATACGGTGCCGCTCATTACATGTTCTGCTGTATTCTTGTTTTTATTTTGCCTGTTATCATCTTCCTATTTTATTGCATTTGCATTTTTGAGCGGCTTATGTTTCATACAACAAGGTATTAAAACTCAAAGTATCGTATTTCGGACCTTGCTCGCTTCGCAAATTTAGCGCATCATGAGTAAAACACCACACGAGTACATACGGGTAACACACGAGTAACATACAGAGTACATACGAGTAACATACGAGTACATATGAGTATCATACGACTAACATACGGATACATACGAATACATAGGAGTAACATAAGACTAACATACGCATACATACGACGAATATATAGGAGTGATATGAATGTTTTTCTTTTAAAGGAAGCTCTAATTATAAGCCTTGCAAGCATTTTTCAGGTCAGCAAACACGTACCCAGTTCAGTTTTAGCGGGGGATGTCGATCGATCTCCCAAGACTTTCGTTAAATTTAGTCACAGTAAATTAAATTAACATGGAGTGGAAAACCTTTAGGTTGCGCTACAAGATGACAATATATTTTGGATGGCGCTGATCCGTCATCTTCATTAGTCCATTTTACAGTTGTGTGCTTGGTTTCCATGCCTTTGAATGGGAGTGAGGCTAGGGGTGACCTTGTTATGATACAAACCTTGCTGCTTTTCAAATGTAAATCACTTTGTTATCATGCTAACTAGATACAGGTCTCTATCATGACAAGGTCACCTCCAGCCTCACTGCAAATCAAAGGCTTGGCAACTAAGTACACAACTGTAAAATGGACTATTCACTATTTCACCATAGTTAGTTATGAGAAATGGCAAAAAATCAGTGCAAAATCAAGCCAGAAAGCTTAAATGTAATCATGTACATGTACCAAAGGAATCGATTTTGTAATTTCGTGTTGCGGAACTAGAAGAATTATGTTTAAAATGTCGAATTTTGGGGACAGTTGACACATTGAAAAATTCTGCGAGCTCTAAACCAACAGCTGCTTAAAGTTTCAGCAACAGAGTAAACCCCCTTTCCAAAATGTGCAAAATCTTATGGGGGTGGCACCCAACCTTTCCTCACCTAAAAAATGCTAGAGTCTCCCCTCTCTACAAAAATTCGGGGAAGCGCAATGATCCATCCAATTATCGCCCCATTTCAGTAATTCCTGTGGTAGCAAAAGTATTTGAGCGGATAATCTATGATCAACTGTATGTCCATCCTACGAAGTATAATCTTTTTTCCAAATATCAGTCCGGTTTCCATTCATTACACTCGACGGTTACTGCTCTACTCGAGGCAACCGATAGCTGGGCTCTTAATATAGACCGTGGAGTGATCAATGCTGTTGTCTTCTTAGATTTAAAGAAGGCATTTGATACAGTCTATCATGAGATTCCTTTATCTAAGCTTCATTCGCACGGAATTCGTGGACTAGCTTTGCGTTTGTTTCGCTCCTATTTAGTTGACCGAACACCGGATCTGCCAAATCGATTGTTCTAAAACGACGCCAAAGTTCCTTAATTGCGGTGTGCCTCAAGGCACGATTCTGGGCACGCTTTTATTCTTACTCTATATTAACGATTTACCTCAGTGCCTTAATTTTTCTTATCCTCGAATGTATGCTGACGATACCAGCATTACTTACGCTGACAAAGATTTAAACGAAATTGATGATTATCTTAACAAAGATTTGAATTCTGTTAATACCTGGTTGTCTTCTAATAAACTCACATTGAACCTGACTAAGACCGAATTCTTAATAACTTAAAGCAAAGGCGAGTTTATTTGTCAGACAATCCGTCTCTTACCAATAATAATTTTCCCATTGAGCAGGTGTCGTCAACAAAGTCTCTCGGTGTATCTATCGATGAAAACTTAAGCTGGAATACCCATATTGAAACTGTTTGTAAGAAAATTTCTTCAGCTTTGGGCTTAATTAAGCGCATTAGAGATTTTGTACCATTCTACACTCTTCTGAACATCTTCAATGGTTTGGTAAAGCCCCAGTTTGACTCAGTACTGCAGCTTAGTATGGGATTGCTGTAGTACAAGTCTGGCCGAAAAACTTCAGAGGCTGCAGAACCGTGCGGCTCGTACATTGTTGTCCGCCCCTTATGATTCTAGTGCCCTAGACCTGTTCTGTAGTCTTCATTGGAAAAACCTAAGGAATCAGAGGCTTTTTGCCAAAGCCGTTATGATGTTCAAAATTCTAAATGGACAGACACCTGATTATTTATCAAATAAATTCATCTTTCGTAATGATACTACTGGTTATAGATTGCGAAATAGTGAAGTGAGGCTGGCTCTTCCGCAACCTCGTACCGATTATGTTCGTAAAAGTTTCTCTTATAGCGGTGCCGCGTTGTGGAATAGCCTTCCGACTGATATTAGAGTATCTAAAACATTAGGTGAGTTTAAGATGAAGCTAAGTAACTTCAGTTTTGAGTGAACTAATGACACGGCGTCCCTGAAAAGCAGTACTTTTATTTTCATTTATTTTCATTCTAATAAGAGGTTAGTTCAGTTCGTTTAGGTTAGGCTTTTAATTTTTTTAAACATTTTATAACGATTATATAGTTTTAAGTTTTACATTTGTAGGTATATTGCTTGTATACCACTGAGTGGAATTTACCGTGTACAAATAAGGTGATCTATCTATCTATCTATCTACCTCATTTACAAAACTCTGAGGGAGTGGCATCGAACCCCCCTTACCCCCTACCCTCCCCACACACACACACTCACAAACACACACACTTCATATTAGAGGTCCAAGGGGTATGTATTTTTTGCATCGAGATATCAGGAATTACAAAGCTATTAAAGCCGTCAAAAGCTCTTAACAATTCAAGAAATATTGAAACGTTCCTTGCAACACTAAATAAAGAAATATTTATTGACTTAAGTTGTCGATACTTTGCATAAAAATTTACTCGTATGAATTTTACTCGTATTTTTTCGTATTTTTTTTACTTGTATGTATTCGTATCTTAGTCGTATGTTAGTCGTATGTTAGTCGTGTGTATTCGTATGTATCCGTATGTTCCGAACATGGTTACTCGTATGTAACTCGTATGTTACCCGTATGTACTCGTGTGGTGTTTTAGTCACGATCAGTTAAGCGGCCCTTTTTTGGGCATTAGTGACGCCATTAGTCGCTGATTAAAATGGTAAATGCTCCCTCTTCGAATAAACAAAATTTTTTCTAAAAGTTTCCAAGATTTGCAGTTCACGCCTAATAAGATATTTTTATAAGGAAAAGTCTTTTTTTCAGTTACGTGTGGGAGACGCCATTGTGAAATTATTTTGAGAAGTTTATCATATATTGTAGTGTCGAGAACTGAAATAACATAATGCGTAAATGGCTATAAGGCAGAAATCACGAAAGAAGAGAGCGTAACTGTGTATCGATTGTGAATGTCGAACTACTAAGATGCTTCGAAACAAACAATAAGTAACAGCGGGAAACATCGGGTCAAAATTGGATCAAGTTCGTAATTCTAGTTACCATAGTTACCACCATCACTCACTCATTTCAACGACATGTGCCTTCGCTTCCAATAGGAGGTAGTAGCCGAAGATGAGAGTTAGACTCGCAAGTCCTGTTTTATAAAATCCCAGAGATAACTAAATCCAGTAAATTAAAGAAGTCCAACCAAACGTTCATGCACTGGAAACAACTAGGTCGCTTAACGATCACTTATATAAAGAACTAGCCTGAAGTGCCGGCGTATTTTGAGCGCACGAGAGCACATTTTCGTATTAGGCCGCCATCTTAGATTTGGTAACTGTGGAGGATTGGGGCGAGGAAATATTTGCCGAGGGAGTAGGTGTTAAGTGGAAAAATGGGCAACGGGGGAGAGGGAGGGGGAGGAAAAATACTAATATTTTTTCCTTCCCCCGTTACCAAATCTAAGATTGCGGCCTAAAATATGTGCACTCGTGCGCCCAAAATACGCCGGCACAGCAGGCTAATAAAGAAATTAGCTAATGACAGGATTTTGTTGCAGTTGCCGAACAGCATGTCACGCAGTCTTATTTTCTCTGCAGAGATACGATTATACGACTGTGCGTCTTTTCAGCATCGCGATTCGTGCGATATCGGTTTTCGCGTGCAATTTAACGCGGAATTCCCTCGTCAGGTAATGAATTTTCCTATAAAATACTTAAAAATCCTACTACGTGAGTAATGATCACGAAAGCGTCGTTCACTACTAGAATTCTCTTATAACGCCCTACTTATCTAAAATGGCGGTTTCAAGTTTTTTCATCACCATAGAGGAATAAAGTTATTCTTCTCACTGCACTGGGGAGTCCTCGGAAATAAATTTAATCGAGTCCGACCTCTTACTGATTCGAGCAGCCACTTCGATAACTTGCTAATATCTGACCTAACACATGGTTCCATTCCCGGATTATTTTCCCTCTTGAAGGCCGTGCTGTGATACTTCCAGACTCGCTTAGCTTTGTACTTACAGCATGCAGCAGTCCACAGATGTTTTGGCACATTCACCCGGTAAACATTGTCAATGTAGTCGCTGAATCCTTTTTCTCCAAAATATCTATGTGTAGAAGGACGAAATATTGTTGATGGCATAGCGCCAACCACAATGAATAATTGAACATTCGTTGCTCCTTTCACTTCCGCGCAATTCTGAGTCCCCCACATTACCAGGTGGCCCTCACAGACTTGCCAAGGATGCGAATTAAACAATCCAAACTGAGGGACGGCATTTGTGTAGGTAAAAGTTGCTCTTTTCTTTGCTTGATTTCGACGGCCGTACCGTGAGGCAATCAAGTGCCCGCGGTGTATAACTGTTTTGATCAACGCTCCTCCAGGACAGTCGTCAGTTCTAAAACGGCTTCTGTGTCCACTTGAAATAACCCAGTCACGGTCAACGAGGTACCTGCCTCCCCCTTCCTTTGTTGCATAACAAAGCTCTCGGTTGTTTGATCGAAAGTAATCATTAAGTGCTTGCTGAAATTTAAGATATAGCCATTTTAGACTACTTCTTCTAAAATCAACGGGTGGTCGACGCCCGGAGTCACGTCCTAATAGTTGGGCGCCTTCAATCACTGTGGCCGCATAAAGAGGAATTCGGTTGTTGCAGTCATATAGAATGGCCACTGCACTATCCTCACAGAGATACGCCAAATTTTGAGATCCTCCATGGACAAGCCCGAACTGATCTACACCGGTTGGCAAGTATTGAGGCCAAGTAGACTTTGGTTTTCCTTTTTCGTCACAGGCCTCCATAAAAGTGCACTGGCAGCCATCTATTCCATCGATGCCAATCGTACTACACTGCTGGCCGGCTACTTCATTCAGAAGATACTCGATCACGACGAGGAAAAGAAAACTCGTGGTGAATTCCTCCATAATATCCGCTTTCGGGATTTAAAGTTGACCTCTGTGCCAGCTTCAGTATTACTCAAATCAACATTTACCGAAAGTATCAGGTATCCATTCCAAAAACAAAATTACAGAGTCATGAGATTTAAATAAACGGGCACACCTTTTGAGTGCATTTAATCGACCGAGAGTTGGTGGATTATTTATCGCTGTTGACGGCGACATACCTATTACTGAGAAGAATAGATTGCTGAATTTAGATTTCTTTGGCCATATGCGAAAGTTTGGTCACGAAACAGGGTCAAATTATTGAGCAGAAGACATTTTATCCCGTATTCGTTCTTCAGTTTAACAGGCGGGATACGCTTGCTGAGGACATTGATATTACTGCGTACATCACGCAGTGACTGATCAAGGAACGTTGCAGTTGTAGGGAGAAATATCATGGACTAAAGCGTTATCTCGAGATGCATTGATTACAAAAGAGTTAAGTCGTCCTTTTAAATCAGTTTTAATCCTGTTTTCGTATACCACATTCATAATTAAACTATGACTGTTATTTTCGGTTGATTGCCACTTTCTATGACCTTAGGGATACTCCCTCCTTTGACAGTGAATGTCAACGTAGCAAAATCAGATGCGACTAAATTCAAATCAAAGTGGCTCTGAGCCAACAAACTCGGGTAATGATTAATGAAAGACTGGGAATGGACTTTTTTGAATGAATTCAGAGCTCAGGGGGGTCGAGTTCCAAGAAAACTTTTGCATAGCTTTTTTTTATAGTTTACTTTTTACAAGCACTTGAACACTTTTATAAAAGGTTTATTAAGGTGGTATTTTGACAGCTTATTAACTAATAAAAAGTGTTCACGTGATAAAGATTATTAAGGATACTGCAATTAAAAATGGGAACATTATTTTGTTTAGATAAATATTTTCCACAGACTGAGTTGCCTTAAGTTGTTTGATTACAAAGGGGATAAGTTTCTAAAGAAACTGTGGTGTTGCGTCGGTGGGGGTAACAAGGTAATTTGGTAATATCAACTAAGTCAGGGCCGTAGCCAGACTTCAGAACAAGACGAGACAATTTTCGGGTCTGGCATACCTCCCCCAGAAAATTTTGAAATCAAGAGGCTCAGAAATGCTCTTTCAAGCATTTTCCGTGGCACTTTTCTTTAGAAAAGTCAATCTTGAGCAAGTGTGGAAGTTCACTTTTTTAGTGCCGAGCGATACTGATAGAAGTTACTCCATTTATAGTGACTGTTTGCAAACGATTTGCAAGATTTGAACTAAACCACTGGTTTGCAATCCCACGTATGCCATAGAACTCCAATTTTCTTAACAATATCTCATGATATATGGTATCAAATGCCTTACTGAAATCTAAAAATGTACCACAGGAAAAATCCCTATCGTCAATTGCCCTTTGAATTCTATTAAAAATACTAAGGATAGCATTATCATTGGAGTGCTTAGCCCTAAAACCAAATTGATTATCAAAAAACACTTTTTTCCTTTCAAGGAAATCAACTAATCTATTGCACATAAGTTTTTCAAGCAATTTATTAAAAACAGAGAGCAAGGAGATTGGCCGATAATTAGATAGACAAGTCTGGGATCCTGATCATCTTTTGCTGGCCTAGGGTGATTGTTTTCTGAAGACGGAAAGAAAAGTTCAGTTTCTTGAATGATGCATAAGATAATTTTATCAAGTTTCGTCCAAGATATAATCCGCTTTTGTCTCCTTATCATCCAAAGTAATGCATAAACTGCTTTTAGTTCTTATTACTTGTACCCAGTTTCCGGGCAACTAAGGTTTATAATGTTCTTTGGGGTTGGCACCCGTTTTTCATCTTAGCCTTATCAAGTCATACATTGTGTCTGTAGTTTTCTTCACCGTGTGAAATAGAGACAAATTCTGAACAAATTGCCTGCTGTTTTATCGATCGGAAAGTCGACCAAATGTGTTATGATATCTTCCAGCCGTGTTCATGACTGATGGCTTGTCAGGGAGGTCTCTAAGAGGTGCTTTTCCTTGTCTATATTCTGTGTTTTTGCTGTAATGACGGAGGAAGTGCAACTGATGCCGCCAACACCTGAAAACTTCGATTAAGACCCATGCATGTTTACCCTGGGAGTTGACAAAACAGTAAACCTTTTTGGTAAGAGACTAGAGAACTGTTGAAATTGTACCAACTGGTCACCTTTCACCTCCTTTCATGGAAAGATCGACGTAATTACCGGGAAATTCGAGGAAAGAGAGGGAGATGTCGAAACAATGTACGAGAGAGAATTTTCCGAGGCAGGCGTCAAAGCATTTCCCGTAATTTTTAGCTGATAGATAAGGAAAGAATATAATCATTATTACGAACGTGGATTAGGGAACCATATGTCAATTGAGTCAGTTGGGGCAATGTTACAATTACTTTTATTTCCTTTTCTTGTGTCACAAATCCATACTATTTTTTTGTAATTTCTTTATTTTTTTGGCATTTTACAAAACGTTACTCTACTTACAATACACTACAGGACTCGGTCACAGTACATTGATTACAATAGTTTACTGAGAACAAACAACAAACAAAGTATAGTTTACAATAAACTTGATTACAGCAGATGACTTACTATCGATTGCTTCCACTACCTACACGATACTCTACATTTACATCACTTATCAACATATTACACTCCTTTCAATATGTTACGTAAATTACTTACAGTACCTTAATAATACTATATAGCGAAATTGTGTGCTTTACAATAAAATTGGCTTCGTATGCTACTCTACACTGTTTGGACGACACCCATCCCACAAAGCGATATGTGGCAAAAGCTTATTCCATTTCTGAAAATGTTAAGCTAATTTATTCCGCTTTGTTGCTATCTTCATTTCTACCTGGTATATCTCCCCGATCTTGGTCTTGCAAACTCGTATAGAGGGGTTCTTAGAATTCAATTTACAACTGTAGATATAAAATTTAGCTGTCAGTATTAGGTGATTTAGAATAGTAAAGTCCTCTTCCGCATTGAAAACTCCAAAAACTATATCCATTAATGTATAGGTTTGAAAACTAACTTGATATTCACCAAGTCAAGAACAGAAAGCTTCCCAGAAAACCTTGGTAAAATTGCAGTAGAAAAAGATATGTTCAAAGGATTCAACCTCTTGTTTACAAAAAGTACATGAAGGCGAATCCGCCAATCCCCACCTAAATAATCTTTCGTTCGTAAATACTATATTATTTAATACTTTATTTTGGAATTCTCTATTGTGACGGTAAAAGGCAAGGAGTATATTTTCTTCCAGTCGAACGGAAATTGTGGAAATTTTTCCCTGAACTTTAATTGCGCAGTTCAGTTGGAGGGATTTGCTTTTTGCTTTTAAATGCATTATAAAGCGATTTGGACGTGATTTTTGCTAACATTACTTGATTTCGTAATCAAAATTCGCCTTGAAAAGAGTCATAACTCCCTTGCTGTGTTCCGAACCGTGACTGAAGAAAATATCTCCTCTCCATTGAGCTTTCCACAAGTTAACAACTTCTGGAGTACTGTACGTTTCTTGTAAAAGGGTGATAACAGATTTCTCTTTCGCAAGCCAATTAAATAACGCTTTCCTTTTGTCAAGAGAACGAATCTCTCGAGCATTTAAAGATAACATTTTGAAATTTAAGCTACGTTTCATAAAATGCGAAATCGGTGCCAGAATTTATAAAGTAAGCGGAGAAATTATAATATTATAAAAAGCCCTTTCACACATGCAGACCAAGTCATAGGTGTTGTGCGAGCCGCCCACACTAGTACAATAAGCAATTAACACATTTATTTCTACGGTTGAACACAAAAGGAAAAAGACAGAACGATATACAACTAAACAATTAAAAAAGTAGCCAGCAAAAGCTGTTAAATAAGCTACTAACAAACAGGGTCTTGCAATTCTCATAACACGTAGAGACAATAAGATTACAAAAAACTCCGGTTTTGGAAGCAAAACATTGCTTGAATTTGAATAAATAAAATTTTTGTACATGGCCCGAATTTTGGTATTAGCTACAATTCTATATTTGAACATCGTCGATAAACAGTTTATAGGTTCTGCCCTACTAAAATAGGTGGTCCTACCATCTTCTTTGGCCTACTTGAACAGTTTCATCTTCTTCTTTCTGCGCTCCATGATTTCTTTTGGTAGATCCGGCGATATCCCAAAGTATTTTCCTTTGAGTTTTCTGGCGTTAAACATGACCTTCTCTCGATCAGGGTATCTCACAAATCCATACGAGACGAAATGGGAAGTGGATGTTTTTAGCGCAATCAACTAAACATTTTTATTGTAATTTCTTTATTTTTTTTGGCATTTTACAAACATTGCTCTACTTACAATACACTACAGAACTCAGCAACTTTACGTTGCTTACAATAGTTTACTGAGAACACAGGCACTAACAAAGTATAGTTCACAATAAACTTGATTACAGTAGATGACTTACTCTCGATTACTTCCACTACCTACACAATACTCTACATTTACATTACCTTACGACATATTACACTACTTTCAATATGTTACGTAAATTTCTTACAGTACCTTAATAATAGTATATAGCGAAATTGTGTGCTTTACAATAAAATTTGACTTCTTATGTTACTCTGCACTGTTTGGACGACACCCATCCCACAAAACGATATGTGGCAAAAACTTATTCCATTTCTGAAAATGTTTAGCCAATTTATTCTACTTTGTTGCTATCTTCATTTCTACCTGGTATATCTCCCCGATCTTGGCCTTATAAACTCTTATAGAGGGGTTTTTAGAATTCATTTTCACTCGTATATATACAATTTAGACTGGCTTCTGGGAAAATAGAACTTTACCTCTTACTTGGAAGAAAAATTAAGAGGGTCAAAGAGGAGCACACATTACTGAAGTGCAAAGGTAATATCTGGCACTTCTGTCCGACAACTTAATCTTAGCGGAAAGAAACCGTAAAATTCACCTCTCTCCTTGTTACTCTAATTGTGCTTGAGATATTCAGGACATTAGACGTTGACTTCCATGGTTTAGTTCCAGCGAGAATAGAAGATAGAAAATTTACCATCGACCCAAAACGACAAGGGCTTGAATTGAATGAGTTAGCAACAAATGAATGCATGCGCCAACTAAAGATTAAAAGAGAAGTTCACCTATTCGGCGCGAGGTGCATGGGCGAAAAAGCTCAATTTTTTAAATGTTCTTTTACGTTACTGTCACTTATCTAAAGAAACAAGGACCATCCTGGGTCTAAAAGATCCAGATGAAACTCCCCGCATTAGACGATCGATGTATTGTAACGCCGAACGGGTATTGCGTGAAATGTTGATTCAAGACACATTTTCGCAAGGGGTTCAACAGCGTCAGTATTTTTTCAACAACCAGTGGTCCTAATCAATTTGTCTACTGATTACTGAAACATACTGATTACTGAAACAAGTTAATTTGGCAGTCCTCAAAAATATCAGCACGCGATGAAAGTTCTGAAATTAAGGTTGAAACCAGAGAAATTTGGCACATGCGCAAACTGTTCACTGGTTACCGTTCACCCCTGAAACCTTTCTGCGGAAAAAAACCTTCTGTGATTGCTGAGAAATTATTAAATAGAAAGAGAGGAAATCATCAAAGTAGTTGAAGCACCGATACTGAAATCATCTGATCCGCCTTCCCTTAGATGTGATAGAGCACATCCCATGAATTCAACAGAGGGGTTCGGGAAAAACGCGTATTTTTCCTGTTCACCTAATAAAGGCGGACGGCTGATGTCCGTGTTTATTTACAGAAAATGCAGGACATTAACTCGTATG